ACATCTAATAAAGTTAATTCCTGTATATGAAGAATCAAGATCATTTTTGGCTTCTTTAATCATAGCGTGCCATTTATATAAAGGAAATTGTTTCACAATTTCCGTAGTTAATTTCCATGGTAGTGGAGACTGCTCCATGAATTCTACTGCTGATGATGTTATTGATTCGCAAATTTTTCTAACAGCTAACTCTGATAATGTTGGGGCATTCATCTATAACAAAAAAAAAAAAACGCTATTATAAGATACTGTAATGCCCCCACGGAAGTGTGTCAAAACTGTTCGGAATTAAATAACGTTTGTCGTCATACGGACTTAAACTAATTTTTGACTGTTCAACAGAATATACGTTGTGTGCATACGACCTGATACAGCGTTGTGTAGCTGTTTTTTCCTTAAATTCTTTCAAACATTCAACATAATCCTCAAATGCAATTTTATTTTTAACAACATTGTACTTAACCCCTTTAGATTTTTTAACCACCTTCCCACCCTGCACCTTGTAACTATACATTTTGCTTCGAAGTCCAACAAAATGTGTCATAATTTTACCGTTATTTTCATCTTTCATTAGACCCGGCACCTTTTTGTTCTTACGCAGTATTTTATATATGTTATTTTCAGGATAATCCGAAGTATCAAATTTACTGGAATCAGCTTTAATGATCTCCTCATATGCATCCTCACATTGCAATTCGTAGATAAAACTGTCTGTGTCCATGTACATGAGCTTACACCTTTCTGCACCCATTTTTGGTAGCATATAGGTGTAATGAAAATCGTACATGACTAGTTTCGATAGGTCTAGAATTGCCTGCCCTACATACAGAGGTTTGTTAAACGTTATTTCAGCCTTGTTCAATTCGATAACCACCAGATTTTCCTCTAAAATTGTGCGACTGTGGAACCGAAAACTCGAAATCAAGTTTGCTGCCCCATAGCGACCACCCCAAGATTTAACGATTTTACATACGCGGTGCTTACGTATATTTTCCATGGTCTTACCGAATACTGCATTATTCATTAATTTAAAAAGATTTTTTTCGAAATCATTCCGGGCTGCAGCTCTACATCGAGTATTCAACTCGACGTAGGGTTTCAGCCAGGCTGCTTGTTTAAATTGTAAAATTTTATGGATTTTCGTTAACTTTAACCCATTAGCTAGCATTTGTTTTAAATTTTTATAGTGAACCGTGTACTCTTTTTTATCCGTAAGTGTTGCCATTAATTTCGGCAATTTTACCCCGCCGTCGCTGGGTGGTACGCTACGTTCTGCCGCAAACGGAAAATCTTTGTGTTTATCGTGCAGTTCTTGTGGGTACGATAGATCGACTTGTAGCACGTACCCTACGTCAGAGTCGTCGGGTATTGACATCACATCAAACGATGTTACATCATCTACCCATTTGAACCCTCCGTAGGGTAAGGGTTGCTGCATAGCCTTCCCATATAAGCTATTCACATCCAGGTACATAAGGTACTTGGACGGCTTTTCAGGATCATATTCGGGCATATATTTATTGTTGGCCTCCGAAAATCGGTTGCTACACACCGAAATTCCACCTCTTATAGCATTTTCGTAAAACATCACCATATCTAGATCCTTTAGTAGTTCTAACTTACACCCAGTGTATTTGAGCATACAGTCCCACGTATATCCGGGCATTGTATAGTACCACGCAGGATCCAGACCATAGGTGGAGAAACATTTTTTACGCAATTGCTCAAAAACGTCGGCAAGAAGCAGAATATCTGTTTTTAAATATATATCAGAATACTCTCCTAATGTTTTAATGTTAAACTGTTGCCAAACAGATTGCGCATGAGCATACTTCTCGTCACTTACACTTTCATCGTTTAATTTATTGTAAAATTTTTCAATTGGGGGCAAAGTCGTTTCATTTAATTTTTTCAACGAATCAATGTAATCGTAACAGAAAACTCCTTTCTGTGTTAATAATTTGAATTTATCTTCATCTAAATTTTGAAATTCCCTTTGTAAAATTTTCTTTTCTGATACTGCTAAAATTGAAGCTAATTCATCAAGAGACGCCCCCATAAATCGAAAAGAGTCTATAAACCGCAATTTAATGTTATTTTCATCTGAGTGCAGCGTAAAGGAGATGTATTTATCTTTGTTGATGGGAAGTAGACTTAAGCGACCTTTTTTACATAAATTCGAAATCATAAAGTGACTATCGTACCCACTTAAATTATGGAATATAACCGGCACAACAAACAATTTTCTAAAGTTCAGATTGCATGCTTGGTGTGCGTAACCTCTGAACTCTCCACTGAAATGGTTGTGATCTCTAACGATTATGTCTTTTTTTGTTTTTGAAAATCTCTTACCGCAAATATGACATGATGTTGCCTTACATGTGTCTAATTTTTCAATCATAGGTACGCTTGTTTTTATTTTTGAGTTTACAAATTGCGCAACACCAGCCATACGATTTGCAAACCAATCCATACAATCTGCACCTCGAAAGCTCTCGAAATAAGAAAGGCTATCATCATAGCTGCATTTTACATAGAAACCAGCACTATACGGAACGTGTTTTTGATATTTTATGGTTTTAGTTAAATTTACGACGCTACTTTCTTTATGATTTTCTAATTGACATTCAAAATCTGCATAAACAACAAAAGGAGTATTTTGTTGGTATGTAAAGTTTTTAAATTCAACGCAGCTCTCTTTAGGAAGGTTAATTTTATATTTATTAAATTTAGAACACAGTTTTTCATGTTCAACTAATTTATTTTGCTGATGGAAATAGTTCAGACATCTATCGCAAATAAATTTTTTCTCACGATGTTTATTTAACTGGCTACTAATAAGACGCGAAAGATTTTTAATCCAACAATAGTGATATTTAATTTCATCGATTGAATCATTATCTTCATTTGCTGGCGCTGGTGGAGGAGCATCATAATCATTTAAACGCGGATAATATTTATTTTGAGCTAAAAGTAAATTAACATGCGTATCCCGTTTATTTTCCGTTAATCTTGCTGGTACTACTATGTAAAATGATTTTTTTTCTGTTTCGATCAATTCTAAAGCGTAAACATTGACTGAAATGTTATTCATCTTTTCAAATTTTGAAATTTTTGTTAGCAGCATAGGACTATCTAAATTTTCTGTTTGTAAAACGTCAGTAAAGTGTGGATATGAGGAGGTTAGTTCTGCATGTCTTTTATTGCTAGGAGTCCGAAGAGCGCTTACAATGGCCCAGTAAAAGCAATTTTGATCTATATTTTTAATGTTTATACAAGCATTTTTCCTTATAATCGGTTCTGGTAGTCTAATATAAGATGAACCGTTTCCCAATTGATATTTACTGATATTAACAACTAAGGAAATAATTTTATTTAACGCAAATCCCGAATCTTTTTCAGCAAATTCCGATAATTCGTTTAAAAGTTTATCTTTCACATATATCTTAAACCACTCGTCTATTTGAGTTGATGTATCAATAATATGATTTTTAGTATTAATATATTTAATTCCCAAAATTTCATTATCCCCCGATTTCCTAATAAACTCCCCGCAAAATGTTGTATTTACTTTGAGCGCACAATGGGTGTTCAAAATATTCCTAATTTTCCTTTTAAAAACAACTACACAATCTGCTAAAAATTGATTCAAGTCCTTATGACGCAAATTAGCTATGGAACCGGTTTTTATTCTACTTTGAAAGCTCGATTCTACATTTTCCCATCTAACCCTCTGACCCAATGTTAAGTGAAGTCCTGCCCCAATATGTCTAGTTAAAATCAACTTTCTAAAATGTTTAAAATGCCCCAAATTTGTTTCTACTTTTCTACAGGTCCCTACAGATAATTTATTTTGCCTTCTACTACGAATTACCCGTTTACATAATCTAATTTGTTTTTCTATTCGTTTCAGCCACACTTCCGCGTCTCTGATTGTAAAATTATCAAATAAAATTTTCCGTAGACTAACAATTGATAGTAGAACACCGTCTGTTTGTTTGATGATCTTTTTAACCTTATTTGAAGACATTTGAAAAGACGACATTTTTTTTTTCAAGCAAACACATTACTCAAAAATATATAAAAATGCTCACCCTGTCCTCCTCCTCCTGTTCTCTGCTTTGTTAATTTTCCACTATTTTGAATGATGCTAGCGGTCGGCTTTTCCCTACGTCCACTTCCCCTTGGAAGATGATCGAGTATTTTCCGTGAAAAAGTTCGTCGATGACCGGCTGGTACGTTTCCGTCACCCGCTGTGGTAGAAATAGCACTTCCGGTCCTAAATCTAGTAGCACGGCTTCCCCAAATTTCGACTTGACCACTTTAGCTGCTTGGATTGCAAATGGTGTCCCGACTGGTAGGTCCTTTAATTTTCTGATAGGTTTGCGGTCTACAATCGAAGACGCAGCATTAATTTTTGATAAATCCATCTATAAAAAAAATTGAGTCGTCTAACTATTTTGAAGCATAACACGAAAAAACAGTTGCACTTAGAGACATAAAAAAGAAAAATATTAAATAAAATAGCACTTACTTTTTTTAAAATTTTCGCTATCTCGTCTCTCTCGAAGCACTATTGTACTGCGGCCGTTGTTCCAGCTTGCAGCGTTGTGCGTTAAGTGTGAAACAATGATGACTATTGCATGCGCTCGCTAAATATAAATACGTGGTTGAGATAACACACGCGTGCATGAGATAATTGTATCGTAAATATGCATATTATATGCATCATATTCTCAGTACCATTTTTATCGAGAAAACAACATTCATTGCGGTTGCAGTATTTTTTATATAATTTCTTAGTAATACATGAATGTATCGTTTGTCCGGCGGAAATTCCAATTACAAGTTGCACATGAGAGTAGAAATTTAGAAATATAGTAAATTCGTGTATGATTATTGTATATTTGCTGCCTAATTTTTTTTCAGTCAAGATTTTGATTGGGGGGTAAACGAATTTATATTTGCTATCTGAGATTTTTGACATCATTCTCTATCAGGTGTTGGTTCATGAAATTGGACATGCTCTCGGCATAGCACATAGTGCTTCTCCGAATGCTATTATGTTTGCCTTCTATCAGCATGAGATTCGTGGTCTAGATGTTGATGATATAAATGCAGTACAATATCTATATGGAAGAAAAAACAAATATGATTCAATCCCAACGTCTACCACCGCATCAGCAATACCAAAAACAACAACAACTATAAGATCTACAACTCGTAAGCAGCCGATCCTCAAAAATTTGTGTGATATTATTCCAGATTTTATGTTTTTAGCTATTGCTCCAGAGTTTTCAAATTACCGATTATATATTGCACATGATATGTTTATATGGAAACTAGACTTAAACGAAATGATTATCCCATCTCAGCCTGAACTTCTTGTCGATTATGTTCCTACAGAATTACGTCAATACACTTTACAACATATTTTCCAATCAACAAACGGTGACTTGATTACCATTGTGTCTCCAAACAACTATTTCTCAGCATCATTCCCTACCATTAAATTTCTTGATAATTTTTCAATTGATATACCCGATAGGGCTCGAATCAATGCTATTTTTCAATCAAACGCAGGACGGTCCTATACCTTTTATAATAATATGTCATATATAGAATTTTCTAACGATTTTACTGATGTGTTGAACAGAGGACGGATAAGAGACATATTTCCTGGGTTACCTGAAGTTTAGGGAAAAAATTAAAAAACAACCAGAACTGAACCGTGAAATACATAATTTGATTCTTGTCTGTCATGAACCAAATCAGTTGTCGAACAATGATTTGAGTCGATTAGTATCAACATCTAAAGTACTCCCTGATATGTAGTTTTATTGAAAATACCTCTGGTTTGCGAAATAATATTGTCGGAATTTCTTGTTGCAAGTTGTTCAAGCGCGGGTATTCAAAACATGGCACACACACACACACCAATCAACCTTATTGTTATATATACTATATGTTTCAATAAAATATCCATTATACTATTTTCATTTTGAACGGTATCATCCTGTATAATAATAACAGTACATCGTATACAGGTTATGAGACATTCTGACCGACCGACCGACCAGAGGAGCCCACCACGCTATTTAGGTCACGCCTTGCTATATACGATTTAACGATATACCGTCGGTCCATCGATCCGCTATTTTTCGATGCACCCCTGTATACACGTTGCCCCCCGTAATCCACGCCAACACCAGACAGGTGCGACATCGGCGCCATCTATGCGCGAGATGCCCAACCCATCAATGGCAGCTGTCCAATGACACATAGATTCCGTTTGGTTTGTACAGCGCCAAACAAATCGGCGCCATCTATGCGCGAGATGCTCAACCCATCAATGACAGGTCTCCAATGACGTATGACAGATGACGTTTTAACGCCATCTATGCGTGAGATGCCCAATGACGCATGACAGGTGTCCAATGACACGCAGATTCCGTTTGGTTTGACAGCGCCATCTAGCGGCGGAATCCCCAACTCATGAATTTCGATTACAGATTCCGTCCAACAACCTGTCAATGGCGCGCGACGCCAGCGCCTCTGGTGGCGGATTTTGGAAGTTTTGAGACCGAATCCCCATAAGACATCTACTTTTGCGTATTTATACAATGTGTAGGTTGGCTCTTGTTGGCGACGTGGTTGTCGTTTTGTTCCCTCTCCATCTTCGTTTTCTCATGTTTCACCCCTTCCAGATTAATGGACATGTGTGTCTACTTTTGTAGTTGCATATGTGCATTCAGTTCGGGCCTGATGAGTGACAAAACGAGTGTAAACACCGTCAGTTTGAATCTATGTATGAATTCCAGCTATTAAAAATCATATTTCTGAGGAAATTAGATCACTATGGAGGAGATTTTTGAAGAAACATATCGATTTGACTATCCGTTTAACACTTATAGCACTATTTTTTTTCGCACATATCAAAACATGACTATGAAATGCTTCCTACGTACTTTTTATTTGATTTCCTGTTTCTGTTGCTTTATTCATGTTCATCTTTATTTTCAGGATTAGACCTGATTATAGTACCCGGCGTTGCCTTTACCAAATCAGGAGAGCGCTTAGGGCATGGAGGGGGATACTACGACATCTATCTCAGCACCATTGCTAAGAAACAAGTGAAATCGCCCGCCATGGTGGGAGTTGCTTTCAAGGAACAGATCGTTGACGAAATACCGTGCGAGGAGACTGACGTGCAAATTGATTTGGTTTTGTACGATGACAAATAGTGTGAAATATACATTTGAAATTACGCTTTGCTTACTTCCAGGGGCGGATTTAGACAATATTTTCCGGTAGGGGTCCATATGACGTCTTGTGGGGGGGGGGGGGGGAGGATGTATCGGATATTGAAAGTTGAAGAGCCTTAAGCAAAGTGAAAAACATGCAATTTTTGGATATTTTGATATTTCGGGGATGCTCGGACCCCCTGAACACCCCCGCCTGGATCCGTCACTGATCATTTCTGTCTCGAAAGTATTTACTATATCTACAGTATATTCAGATAAGATATAGACCGGACATAAACAAGACCACGTGATCATCGAACGCTGTAACATTCGGCAGGGACGTATTAAGAGTCACGCAGTACATATTTTAGATAGTAGATGCTGCTTTGCGTAACTTTGTAGTAAATTAGCACAATTCGATGTGTATACGATTGGTGATGGATATAGGATCATGTGGGGGTGGGGTAAGAAATACATAATGATGTAAATATACATAAGGGTTTCAAAATTTTCGCTTCGATTTCCAGCTTCGGATGCCGCCTGATGTTTGGTGAAATACAGTCGAATATAATCTCAAAATGGCGTTTAAATTAGCCTAAATTAAAAATAATCGTATATCTCTTAAAATTGCTTTTAGAATATTGATTAGTATATTTTTTGATTTCTAGGTAAATATGTAACCAAATTAAAACGTTCAAAACGTAAAAAAATGTGCATGGTTGAACATTGTCAGAAAGTAGATTCTTGAATAGGTTTTGCCAAAATGGGTTCAAAAATGTCAATAATTAATTAAAAAATACAGTAGCTTTATAATTACTTATAACTTACCGAATTTGATGAACGACATCTTTTATTGGAAAGATGAGCTTGATGAGCTTTCATCATCGCTACTGCCTGAAGCACCAACGTCAATAATGAATGGCTCGACTTGTTCCTCTAAAATATTGTCCAGTTCCCACATTCTCTTTTCAACTTTGTCTTTCACGTGCTTAATACAGTTTTCCCATTTTTGCGCTGTTATTAATTCTAGTGCTTCTTTGAAAAGTCCTTTGAGGTCACAAAATTTAAAAGTTGTATTGTGCTTAGCTATATAATTTTTAACCTCTGCCCATATGAGCTCAATGGGATTGAGCTCGCAATGGTATGGAGGTAAACGGAGCCCAGTTTTATTTTGACTTGCTGCCATTTCGTCAATGGCGTATTTTTGATATTCCGCCTTGTGATCCTTGACAATTCTTAATAATTGTACTTTCAGCATTGCTTCTTCAAAGTTGATATTTTTCGAGCGGAGCCAATTTTGAACATCAACTTTCCTTGAAGCCGTTGTTGGGACCTTCTCCATTCTTCGAGAATGATAAGGCGCATTATCCAACACAATTACTGCGTTTTCCTCTAAGTTCGGTAAAATTTTTGAAAACCACTGTTCAAACGATTCGCCATTCATTTCCTCGTGGTAATCTCCAGTTTTCTTAGACTCAAAGCACCACAGACCGTCAACAACAAATCCATCCTCACTGCCAATATGGCAGATAATGAGCCTTTTCCCTTTACCTTTACCTTTATATAACGTAGATTAGTTACATTTCTGCTTAACCATTGATTGAGGTATTTGAGGTATTCACACCTATGCTGCATTTGGGCATCATTCATAATTTCCATTCTCACAGCCATCATGTCGAATAAGGTATCAGTAGTCATCTGCTTAGAATTGATAAAATCTAACTTCATTTATTCTTAAACATGGCTTCAACCTTCCAGTGAATGATCACCCCTCAACTCATAAGATTTCGTATTCTATGAATTTTTCAACCACGGAAACTGCATAACGTGCAGTACCTAACAGCTAAACAGGTGGCAACGTTGACACCTAAATAACGCAGTTGTATCATGTATCTTGAAGTGACGTTATTTTGACATTATACTGTTTTTTTGAATTATGTAGGTTCTTCTGCAAGATGTTAACTTAGCACTTAGTTGTACGTGTTGCCTAAACGTCATGAGGCTTGTTATCAATCTTTGGCTCCGATGTGATGTAAAATCTGCTTCAGAGATGGCATTACTGGAGGTCTAAGCTGTAAGTTGAATGTGTTGATGTTAATTACATTGGGTTCTTGTCTCAAATACACTTAATTGAGATTCAAAGCTAGAAATTCGTTGCGCAGCTACTTTTTCTTATTCATTCTGGAAATTACATATACAAATTTGCTGAATTTCAAAAATGAGAGTGATCAGAAATAATTATTTTCACTGTACACTGTCGAATTACAAGCCATATATAGTATCTACATGCTTTCTTTTTCTCGAAGCAGCCGCGCAGGCAGAAGCCTAATTGCCGGAACACCGCGACTGCTATGATGATCCTAAAGAAATTTTGTTAATACGATTTTTGAACTACCTAAGGTTAGTAGAACTGGGAAAAGCTTCCTCTTGTAGGTTGTTTCACAATCTCGACACCCTCTGGACAAAGGAGCGGTCGTATCGGCAAGTTCTGAATGTACGAAGTTCGACACGGTTAGGATGGGATGGCAAAGTTAGGCGGGTCTGCCTGGCAGACATATCTCTGAGCCCATCCCAGTCGGCATCTCCGTAATGCCAAGTTTTGCGGCCTGTACGAGTTTCTGCTGCCACAGCGGGTTCTGGCCGAAACCTAACCTCCACAACCCCGTGGTCTGAGTTATCTAGGGGGGACAGGGCAGCAGCGCTGTAAGGGACAGGATGCGTGGTCAGAAAGAGATCCAGCAGGCTACTGGCGTGTGACGAAACGCGGGGGAAAAAAGTAGGGCTCGCCACCAGCTGCTAACAGTAATTACACACAACGCGGACGCGGTGATGATTTCCCGTAATTCTCTTCAGTTTTTGAAATTTATAACTTCGAACATAACCTCTATTCAGAAAGCACAACATAAAATAATCCGTTGGGCACAGCTAATAGATATACGTCATTGGCAGCATATTTTATTCAGTAATGGTTTTCTCACACTGCAAATATCACTGACTTTATACTCATGCAGATCAATACACATAATCATCCAGATATGATCTTTCTATTCAACCAACTTTCTTCTCAGAGATGGCTGCAGGCTACTCGGCTGCACGAAACATATGCAACAAACAATGCGTGTAGTTGAGTAATTCCTCCATAGATGAACGCTCACAACGATCCTAGTGAGCAAACGTGGAATGACTGCACCCTAAAAACCTAATCTGTAAGATGACATTTTATATGTTTTTTTTTTTAAATAATACCCGTGTCAATCTTGATAGCAATTTAACTTCGAAAACATCCTGATGACATTCGCTGAGCGACGAATCTTGTTCATGAATTAAGAAATGCTCTCCATGAATTCCGCAGTGAGCAATGGAACGATTTTCTGGCGTAGATGCTTGGCTCAGTACGCCTCTCTGGAAGGTGGCGAAGTCGCTCAGAAACGGAAAGCGAAGACAACTCCCGCACATCGACGGTCCTGGGGGAATAGTCTTCAGGGCAGAGGACAAGGTCGAGGTTTTCGCTGATGCTATGGAACGACAGTTCTCTCCCAACTGTGACCTTGATAACGAGGAGCAACAAATTGTAAGATCCGTCAGGAGACATTTTAGGGCCAACAGCGTCAGTGATCCCGGCGCCGCCATTAGTGATTCTTCCTCAGAAGCTTCTTTTTCGGAAGATTTTTCAGCTGAAGAGTCGCACAGCACGGCTTCTCCTGAGATCCCGCATTACACTCCAGCAGAGCTTCAAGGTCATATTAAAGACCTCAAGGTGCGTAAAGCGCTTGAGGAGGATCAAATCACTAATAAGGCGCTGAAGCTGCTTTCACGTCCTTGACTTATCTCGTGGCTATTGTCAATGCCATGCTAAGGACCAAGTACTTTCCATCGGCATGGTAGACTGCGGAAGTGATTCCAAAGAAGGTGGGTTTGATATTTCCCCAGGACTATCCTCCCATCAGCCTACTGTCTGCTCTGTCTAAGCTCGCTACGTCACCTTGCGAATTTCTCGTCAGATCACCATGTGATTCCTTACGTGCAATTTGGATTTCGGTCTGAGCATAGTACGGAGTTACAGGCGGTTAGGCTTGTGGAGCGAGTAACCCGAGGCTTCACCCTTAACGAAAGTACTGGCATCTTGCTTCTGGATGTCTCGAAGGCATTTAATAAGGTGTGGCACAAGGGCCTTCTCTATAAACTAATTCAAAAGGGCTTTCCATTTTGGCTCCTAAAGCTTTTGAAATTCTTCCTTGAAGATAGGAAATTTCGGATCAAAATTAATAATTCCTTGTCGACAGCACGGCCCGTCAGGGCCGGCGTTCCTCAGGGTTCGGTTCTACGGCCAATCATTTACTCAATTTTCACGCATGATGTCCCTTGCCCTAGCGACTGTGAAGTCTATCTATATGCTGATGACACTGCAGTGGAGGCCCAGTCGCGTACCGGGAATCTGGCTCAGACAGCTGACAAAGTGCGGTGGATGAGGTATTGGAATGGGCAGAACGGTGGCTAATCAAAATTAATTACTCGAAAACGCAGGCTATCTATTGTACTAAAAAACGTAGCGGCGCCCCGCCTGAGGTTTCAGTGAATGAAGCTCGGATACCATGGGGAAATTCTGGTAAGTATCTCGGTGTTACTCTTGACAGGGGGATGACCTGGCAGAATCAGACTGAAGCGTTAAAAACTACATTACAAATTACGTTTCGGCAACTCTACCCTTTACTATGCAGAACCTCAAAATTAGGTTTGGTTAACAAAGTTCGGCTATACAAGACCAGCAATCACTTACGCATGTGCAGCATGGTGTTTTCTTGCCAAAACGTATATGCGTAATCTGCAGGTTTTGCAGAACAGAACACTGCGAACCATCACTAACGCACCATGGTATGTCTCCAACGAGAGCCTTCACAGAGACCTCGACATCCCTTAGGGACTACATCAATCATCAGGCGCAGTTAAGTCATAATCAAGCGGAATCGCACAGCAACACTCTGTTGCGTAAGTCAGTAGACTACACAGTCGAGCAAGTTCGCAAACACACAAGACCGCGGCTTGCACTGTGATCAAAATCAAATCGTGCGATGCTATATCCAACCAAAATCACGTTTTTTGCCACACACAAATTCCTAAATTAATTTTTGGATTAATTTAAATTAACCGAATAGCAAGGCATCCCTTTAACCGGCGCATTTCACCCTCTTTGCTCTTCCAACTTCCTTCCTTTCTTTCTTCTTCCTTTTTTTCTCCCTGACTTCGTCCGGCATCTAGGTAACCAGACCTGACAGACCTACTGACCTACGATACTTTAACAAAGAGCGAAGGTCCCGCGGACCGCTCTGACGGACAATGACGAATAGAATAGGACTTCAAAAACACTAGTCCAAAACCGTACGCGACCCCCTCCTGTCCCGGAGTCTTTTGAGTTATATTTTTTACTATCGATGATTAATTCGGAAGGATCTTAAGAATTGTACGGTCACTGTTAGAGATAATTGAATTTTGCTTGATGTTACATTTGTTGATTCGTCTTTTTTACCACGGTACTCTAAAAATTAAGTCAAATCGGAATAACGCCTAAGTAGGTATCTCATCTCGAAGTAGGTTTCTACAAAAGGAATGGGAATTAAATCAAACAGCAAAGACAATTACACTGTCGCAAATATATGTGCTTCATTTTATTAAAAAAAACACATTGTTTATGTATGAGTCGAAGCTTAGTAAGTTGATTGCTATATACATTATATTGAACCGCCTCTTCCTTATGATATCCACGCAGGCAGTTCTAATCGGAAATTAGACGTACTCTCACTGACCATATTCAATCAATATTTTAATTATAAGATTGCTGGGCACACGTGCTTCGTAGAAACAAAATGAGATTTGGAGTAACGTGCTTAAGCCAGTACCAGCGCAATAGTCCTAGCCCAATCGGCAGACGAACAACTACACTTAACACGCCTGGTAACAACAAAACCCGACCGCGTTCATTTTCCATACTGATAGCCCGAATACCGTGGATTTATCAGATTTGTTCCTAAATATTTCAAGGACTCATAAGGTGATTACTTTCCGTTTCTGTAGTAGTATCTTAAGGCGGCTCCGACGCAGTGAGTTTCAAGCCATTTACAAGGGTTCAGCTGCTTCAAAACTGACACTCCGTTTTCCAATATTTTTGAATGAAATTCATACAGTATGTTGAGAAGATAATTGCCCAGGGTACTATATGAGCACTTTTTGACATTTTGTTTTTGCACAAGTTTTATGATGGGTTGAAGTGCAATCTTTTTGTGTTCAACTTTGCGATTTTTTTAAAAAGAACCTAGTGGAAAAAATTAAAAAGTGGCTCTATAGCACCCTGTGGGGTTTTGTTTTCATCTCACTGTGAAAATTTCATCCAAAAATATCAAAAAATAAAGCGTCAATTTCGAAGCGCGCAAACCTCTACAAATCGTATTTTGGACGAATTTCGTCTACTGTTGCGTGCTGCCAACACAAGCGTTGCGGCGCAATGTTCGGACTAAGAAAGGACGTATTCAGGTAATTTGGTGGTCCTATTTCATATAATATCCCGTAGATAAGTCGTTCTGCATATAGGTACTCATAATCTCGATCGCTGATACTCCTCGATTTTAAAGCCGTTTTACTTCCCATGTCACTGGCGAGGAACTATTGTAATCGCGAAAAATTTCTAAAATGAGATGTTGTCTCACTCGTCAACTTGGAAATAGCCGCTCAGATTTTTATGAAATTTCCACACGGGGTTACTAGTATGTATGAATGTACCCATTCTGCCGTTACCTTCAATTTGTGTTCTGCAGTTTGTGATGTTTTTCTCGATATAAGCAGGAAAATTTTGTCTTTGCGCAAGAATTATGGTGGGTTTGATGTTTACTATTTGTACTCAACTTCTGGATATTTTAAAAAGATCCTAGTATATAAAATCGAAAAAGTGGATCGTTAGCACGCGGTGGACTTTGTTTTTAGCACGCTGCAAGAGTTTGATTTGGAAATAATAAAAAATGAAACGTAAGCTGTGAATTGCAAATCGGTTTTTGGGCGAAATTCGTCTACTGTTTCGTCCTGCCAGTCCAAGCGACGCGACGGTGCGTTCCGACTAAGAAAAAATGTATTCAAATAATTGGATATATTTCCTAAAATAAATTCAAGAACTCAAATTAAAATTTGTTTATTCATGTCCGTAAACACAATTATGTTTACAATGGTCATGTGGTACATGGTAACAATTGAATCAGGGTCATAAAAATATCTTATGTCGTCAAAATAAGAGGAAGCAGTTAGGTAGTCTTTGGAAAGCAATAAACAGGTAGGCTTATACCTGGATTAAGTACATTTCTTGTCTACTGTAATAGGTAGATGGGGGCGATGCTGCCTGAAATGGATGTGTGCGATCAGTAAACAAACCACAAGACTGAACTGCGGTGTCCAATGATATTTGTACTGCCTTTTTTGTTGCCTTACTAGAAAACTCTGTTGGATATATGATGGAGTTTACTAGAACTTTACAGCGTGTTGCCTGCCTTCTTCTACAAACTTCACCAAATCGAGACGCGGTCAACCTTATCATCCGATGAAGGCGCGACAAAGTACAGTCCCGTGATTTGGTGACTTGTTCGATCTGCAAAATCTCGTCGTCACTTTTTTAATGTTTTCCTAAGAATTTTCGTTTAGCAACCTCCAGATCAGTGTAGTTAATGTCAGGTTTTTTTATTGAATTCGCCATAAAACATTTTCTTTGGAATTGCTATCCGAATTGTTAGTTATTTTTATATCAGCTTTTTTTGGCCTGAGTTTCTTTTCAAGATTCTTGCGTTTGAGTCTTTGTTCCATCTTAGGGATAAGCGAGGCTGGACTAAGCTTAGAACGCAAATGTATTTAGACCACATATACAGGCCGCTGGGTGTTGTGGCTCACTACAGCTGCAGCACATCTTCCATTCGCTTACCCCAATGTATTTTGCGATTATAGATTTGACCTCATCATGAATTAAACTCACCGAATTCGTAATTAAAATGGTCGCATATGACCCTTTATTGTCCATTATCAGCCTTGATGAAAAAAGGCACTCAAGAACAATCACACCAACAACAATTCAACAACACAATATGGACGAACAGTAACAAGGGGAGAAAAATACTAAATGCTGAGTACCAAAATAAGAAAAGATTACATTCTAGATCGCTAATTGAAATCCGACTCTGTTATTACAAAAATTTACCTTGGTATACACCCGCAGTCATCCTTTCCTCTTTTAAAGTAGCGCCGACGACTGTCAAGGGCCAGCCTACCATCGTTTTCTTTTCACCCCCCGTTACCTCAACAGATGGTGCTCGTGATTGTAGGAGCCCCGTTAAGGCTGCTCAAATTTAATGGGGTCCATTTTTTAAACAGTTCTACAGGGTGCGCTATAATATTCTATGTACATAGACTTACCCCCTATTTTTAGACTCAAAATAAGTCGATTGGGGATGATTAACCACTATGCGAAAAAGCTTCATTTGTCCGTTATATTTTTTTAAAACATATATTTTCAGACATTTTTGGAACCGATAGTCCAAAATAAATGGAATTTAGAAAACACGTGCTTTGGTAGACAGCTTGATATTTGACTTTCACACAAAAACTCGAAAGGGTGAAAACTATCCCTACATTAATTATAGCAGAATTTTTTCGCTACTCTCCCAACGATCCTGAATTTTTTTATCTAAAAGATCCTTTTATCTACTTTGCTTTTTGTTTGTTATAAAATCAGAGAAAAAAAAAACGTCTATCGGAGCTGGTTTCTAAAAGATTTTCAGGTGTTGAAATCCCGTTGACGGAAATATCAGATGTTATGATAGTGTCAAGCTGCATAATAAAGTTTAAATTAATAGGTAATGTTTATTTTTGATGGTTATATTCGTTATTTGTTTTTCATAAATTTCAAATTACTTTTACGTTCGAGATAATTTTAGGTTAAGATCTTGTTGTTGCTTGTTTTTCTCGTGAATACGAAATATTCTGTTGACGAACAGACTGACATGTTATTAGTACTTGGTTTCTGCGAAGATAATTGTAGAGAATGTGTTCGCGTGTATTTTTTTAAACATCTATTTTCAGACATTTTTGGAACCGATAGTCCAAAATGAATGGAATTTAGAAAACATGTGTTTTGGTAGACAGCTTGATATTTGACTTTCACACAAAAACTCGAAAGGGTGAAAACTATCCCTACATAAATTATAGCAGAATTTTTTCGCTACTCTCCCAACGACTCTGAATCTTTTTATCTAAAGGATCCTTTTATCTACTTTGCTTTTTGTTTGTTATAAAATCAGAGAAAAAAACGTTTATAGGAACTGGTTTCTAAAAGATTTTCAAGTGTTGAAATCCCGTTGACGGAAATATCAGATGTAATGATAGTGTCAAGCTGCAAAATAAAGTTTAAATTAATAGGTAATGTTTATTTTTGATGGTTATATTCGTTATTTGTTTTTTATAAATTTCGAATTAGTTTTACGTTCGAGATTATTTTAGATCAAGATCTTGTTGTTGCTTGTTTTTCTCGTGAATACGAAATATTATGTTGACGAACAGACTGACATGTTATTAGTACTTGGTTTCTGCGAAGATAATTGTAGAGAACGTGTTCGCGTGTATCTAGAGAGATATCCGATTCGACGAATCGTCAGACCTTAGCAAGCATAGAACGCCGACTTCGAGAAATTGGTCGATGCCAACCTATGAGAGTCAACGCTGGAAGACCGCGGCAAACCGTTACAAACCCGCAAAGCTATTACGTAAAAACCTAAAAAACGCCCAAAAAACCGACAAAAATGCCAACTTGCTGCCTAGACATTTCCTAGTGTGCAAATAGTACATTTTGATATTTGATATAATTTTGTGTTTGTTAAAATTAAAGCCAACGAATTTTGTGCCAAATATATCAGGACATACGTAACGCGCGTCCGTGAATTTTGCCAGTGTGTTTCTTTATGTAAGAACTCATTGTGGTGCTTTGTCCAAGCGTGATCTTCTATATCAGATTAATTCGTTACTCCCCCTTCCGTGTTGAATTTATGTATTTCAGTAATTCTATTAATTATACATTTCTTTTTAATCCTGCATGGGATTTAAATTTTAGAAGTAGACAAGAAATAATAAAAAAAATCATTCAATGTGAGCATTGCCGAATTTACAGTTATTAGTCAGTCAGTGTAAAAGCATAACACATCTATTATAAAAGTAGTTCACTGGAAATTGATATATTTCTGATGAGCGAGAGAAATTGTCCAAAACCATAAAACACCGCTTGCTTCCGGATAATGTAATGCGATACAACATTTACGTATTGTCTCATCGATTACGAGTAATTGATTGATCGTAATTAGTTTGTGTGTTGGAAACGACACAAAAACAACGAGTTTAAACCAAAGTTTGTTTCATAATTGAATGTATCTTCATACTTGTCGAATTGTGAAAGCTAATGGAAACAAGTTCGAGTTGGTTTTAGATCTCAGGTACAAGATACGAATGTGATATATATATACATATATATATATATATATAAAACTTGAGACGTTGTCATTGTCGTCTAGACCAGTTAGGTGAAAAATAAAGCTTCCCTTTAGTTGGATACTTCGACAAAATTCAAGCAATGAGGACTCTTTATACTTTATTAGTCTCTAGCTTTCAATGTACTTTGCCATCTTCATCAGGAGCTACAGTAACATTGAGAAGAAATAGCAACTATTGTGCAAAATGATTTTAAATTACTTACGTTAGTATGTGAGATTGTTGCTAAATGTTATTAACGGTTAGGTTGAGGGAAACATTTAGTAGCCTGGTGAAAGCTGGATACATGGTACATTTATATCACCATTTTGTGCAGCATCAGGTGGTTCACGATGTAATTTTAACATTCGTTCTAAATATTTTTTAATACGTTCTGATGTATTCCTGACATACAGCTGTGTGTATTTTATATTAATTTTAACGAATATACCATGTATCCAGCTTTCACCAGGCTACTAAATATTTCCCTTAACCTAATCGTTAATAACATTTAGCAACATACTAATGTAAGTAATTTAAAATCATTTTGCACAATAGATGCTATTTCTTTTCAATGTTATTGCAGCTACTGATGAAGATGGCAAAGTCCATTGAAAACTAGAGACTAATAACGTATAAAGAGTCATCTTTGCTTGAATTTTGTCGAAGTACCCAACTAAAGGCGGAAGGTTTATTTTTCACCTATATATATATATAAAGTTTTCCGATAAGAGCAGGTTGAAATTGCATAAGTACATTGAATGCCGGTGATTGCAATATTGTTTCATGATTAGACATCAAAGCGCAATTTTTGTACATATGCTCAAGTGGTCTTATTCAGTTTCAGGTATCGCTCTTCTTACTTTGCGAATTTAAAACAAAGAATTGCTTCCTTTGAATAGGTAAAACTTGATCCCATATACAGGGTGATGCACAAGTCGAGACCAAAAATCAAACATCATATACAGGACTGCATTTTAATAAAAAAAATCTTAATATCTCCAAAAAGTAGAATTAACTAAAGCTTGATATGTGGATTTACCTAAGTACTGTTCATATTCAAAAGTCTTTACCTAAAATTAACGTGCACCAGTGGCGGAGATACAGGGAATTAATGGCATTATTTTTCCAAATAAAAATAGTACGCCGCTGTTTTTTTCTCGAATTTTACCTTCAGCTTGCTACAAATAATTACTTTTGTGTTTTTTCCTAGAATCTTCGTAATAACGGTTCTGTGTATGGTGTTTCATTTTTCGTCACGACTTGTGAATCACCCTGTATAATTAGTTTAAAATCAATGAAAATAGAGATATTAAATTTTGTTAGGGCTATAAAATTCGGAAGTTTTTATTTTGATTTGAAAACAAGAACTATCAATATCAAGTTCTCAAAGTTTTTTGATATTCAAGGTTTGTCACACCACAGCTATAATATACTCGTATATCATTCAGTAAAATCAATTTGATTTGAAAATTCCAAATATTGTCCAAATATCCTTCTAAATCTAACTAAAATAATTCATTTAAACTAGGCAAAAACGTTTACCTAAGCTAATAATTAAACAAATTTAATGAACTCAATTAAATCGTTTTACATGTAACAGGTAAACTTATTTTATTAGTTTATTAATTTCAAATAAATTGGTGTATCAATTTAAACAAACGGTTTAATAAATTTATTGAAACGATTGCGGTTTTGGTTTAATTAAACTAGTTTCATAGACTCGAATAAACTGTTTTAGTAATCGGAGTTTAATTAGGATAATTAGACTTTTCAGCTGTCCCATGGTTAATTAAACTTTATAGTTGAACTAATTACAATTTTAATGGGTTCAATTAATATTTTTTTTCTCAGTGTAATGAAAAATTCAAATGCAATGACCGATTCAATTCTGATTTCAACGGTCCTTTTTGCTGTGACATTACGAGGGATGTCTTTTAAGTTTTGCATATGGAAATAAAACAACACGGTAGGTAGTTTTAAACGAATGTTTTTCGACGCATTCTCCACGAAGATTCTTACGCATCTGCATGTGCCCGAACCAATTTTCGAAGCACTTATTCCACTCGTTTGCTGGCAGATCCAAAACGGCATTTTTAAATGCGTCAACTGCTTCTTCTGGTGACTGGAACCTTTGACCACGCAGTCTGTTTTTAATTTTCTGGAAAGTAAAGAAATCGGTAGGACTTATATCAGGACTATATGGAGGATGGTTCAATAATTCCACGTTTTCTTCCGTTAAATACTGCCTTGTTTTTTGTGCTGTGTGCGAGCTTGCATTGTCTTGGTGGAGGATGATTTTTCTTTCGGGCTTGATTTTTCGAAGCTCGGTGATGACTTTTGGCAAACAAATGGTGGTATACCAATCCGCAGCAACAGTTCTTTGCTCATCAAGAGGAATTGTTGCAATATGATCCACTTTTGACATAAATGTCGCGACCATGTTTTTCGAAAGACTTCGAGAACGGATGACTTTTGTTGGCTTTTCTTCACGTTGGAACACCCAAACAGCCGTCTGTCGTTTATTTTCTGGTTCATAACAGTAAATCCACGATTTATCATCACTAACAATGCTGCACACATTTTCGGAATTGAACCGGTCAGGCGTTTTTTTGACACCAATTAACCCTGGCTGCTTTCTGCTCTTCAGTCAACAGGTGGGGTATCCAACTGGAAACTAATTTGCTTACTCCTAATTCTTCATCTAAAATTTTTTGAATTGAGGTCTTTGAGATCTTCAAGGACGCCTCAATCTCGCGATATGTCACATGTCTATCTTCAATGATGAGTTTGCGCACAGCATCGACGTTTTTCTGCTGTTTTTGGTGCACCCACCCTGGGATCGTCGCTAAGACTCACCCGTCCACGTTTGAATTCTGCATACCAACGGGAAATTGTCGACTGATGTGGCGCTTCGTTGCCGAAAACAGACAGTAATTCAGCAGGGCATTCTTGTTGCGATAATTGTCTCTGAAAGTTGTAATACATTATGGCGCGAAAATGTTCTCGGTTGAGTTCCATTGTTCTGATGACTTGGTGACACTTCAAATTCACTGTAGTGAGAACACTGCACGTATTGTTGTGAAACTTTGAATTTAAGTTTACTAAAGAGTGAGGTTAAGATTCAGTACTGACGTTCGATCCGCGCGGCCTACTATGTTTCTATATGCAAAACTTAAAAGCCCTCCCTCGTACTATTGGATTGTGAGTGACCCTTGGTCCAGTCGACAGTTAAGTTGTTGATGGTGAGTCACTAACAAGTACCAAACGGCAATCCAGTACTGTTCCTTTTGTGAGTTTGCAACTCTTGAGAGTCAGCCGCATTTCCTAAAAAACATCAATTTCGTAACTCGTTATATAATTAGTTATAATTGCACTGCAAAGTGCATAAAATATACCCAATTCAACTCGTAAATACTCTTTTCACGCTTTTGTACCACTAATGAACTACCGACCATTGCAAAATCCTCATAGCAAATACCATTTCCCTATTTTTATCAGCGTACTATCTAGAGACCGACGATGATCTATGAAACAAATTTCCTGTTAGAAATGATAGTGTCGGCGCAATAAATAATACTCTTTGGAAGTGAACGTCCCAGAAGTGTAGCATCACTCACTTAGAGAACGATTTGTTCAGCTGACGATGGTCTGAGGCGTGGTTGAAGTACCTTTCCAGGGAAGGAAAGAACTGTTATGATTTATATTTTATAGCATAATTGGTATGGAACTAGATACTAGCAGAGGTACTTAATTTCAAACGGAGTGAATACAGTATCGAAGACTCAATACTCCGGTGCTATGTAACATCTGAAACTTAGTTTGTCTGTACCCTGTCGCTATGCCTATACAGGGTATGTATTCAACACCTGAATACCTCGTAGATTCAAATCATCTTCAACCGCGCATTTTCCGGGAAGCAGTTCTAAGAAAAGTTTCAGGGTATAAAAAAAGCAATTTGTCGATGACCTCGGATTTGACTTACACAATGTCCTCAGAGGTCATTTGGAGGTCGACTTTGTAAATTCAAATAGCAACCACCATTTTTAATAATAATAATAATGTTTATTGGTCCAATTACAAAGTTTTCGTATAAATAATAACGGCAATGTCAATAAACATAATATACCCAAAAAAGTGTACACTTGTGCTTGGGGTTTGACCGAAGTTGGGTTATATTAATACAACAAATTTTCTTTAAGTATAAAAAATGTATAAATTTGCATCATTTTATGATCAAAGAACATATTTTTTTTAGTGCCAACAAGCTTATGGATTTGTAGCATTGGTTGATTTGGGATTCATGATTTTAATTCAATTTTTAAACGTTTTTTTACATTTTATATGTGTAAGGTTTGCAGGAATAACATTATAAAATTTTGAGCATAGAAAATAGAATGATCTTAAGCTGATGGTTTTATTAAGTCTAGGAATTAGTGCAGAGGTTTCCTTGAATCACGTTTGATGGTTGTGGCTGATAGATGACAATTTTGGATTTTTTGTTAAATATATTATTGTATGATAAAAATAAATTTGCCGGCAGTCGAAAAGCTGAGATTCATTGTAAAGATTTTCTGAGAATTAACATTTTTTTTGTTCAATATAACTTTTAAAATCCACTTCTGTGTAATTTCAATCGTTTTATAATAATTATTCATGACTCCCCCCCATGATTCCGTAAGATAGTAATGATTGAACAAGGGCATGACATATCAAATATTTGACTTTCGGAATACAATATCTTAATTTTCTTACTAAATTTTCAATATGTTTATTCCATCTTAGATGGTTATCTATGAATACCCCTAGGTTTGAAATTATCAGTCGATTGTATGTTTCTCCAGCTATTCAACGTTTCAATTTGGAGGTGATTAAAATTTGGGGAAGTTCTGTTGTCGCAAGAAAATATAATAAAGTATGTTTTGTTGAAATTGAATGTTAAAATCCGTTCCGTGAAAAAAAATTTTTAACCTTTTGAAAATCTAATACAAATTTGTTTTTTAAAGAAGTCCAATCTTTCTCTGAGTAAGTAATTGCCGTATCGTATGCGAAACCAATAATTTCTTCATCTTTTTTTAACTTAAAAGGGTCATTAATATATAAATTAAACAGCGTTGGTCCTCATATGGTTCCTTGTGGAACTCCACATCTAACAATCATATTTTCCAAATAACTTTTCATGCGTTGATAAGTGACTCCACGAAATCCTAAATTTTGCAAGGTTCTTGATACTTTTTGATGCGTAATACTATCGAGTGCTTTGGTTAGGTCTACAAAAACGCATGCTGTTGACTTATTATTATCAACGTACTTGTAAATTTTGGTTGTTAACTGAATAAGTGCATCTTGACTTGATTTTGCTTCCTGGAATCCATATTGCTCTTCAGGTATGAGGTTGTATTTTGCAATAAAATCTGAAAAGCGTTTTTTAAGATTTTTTTTTAAAATGTTTGAGAAGTTTGTCAATACTAAAATTGGGCGATAATTACAAAGTTTCTGGTTATCTCCCGATTTAAATACAGGTTATATTATTACCTTTTTTAATTGGGTCGGGAACATTCCATGCAGGTGTTTATAAGATGTGTGTGTACTTTAGAAATTTTATGATTTACTTGTTTCAGAGTGTTTGCGGTTATATTATAAAATCCCGTGATTTCTTAACTTTCAGTCGCTTTATGATATGTTCAATTTCGTATTGATCTGTCTGTGTCAGATACAGGGAGTTTTGCAATATGGTTTTCGTATATATAAGTTGTGTTTCATTTGCCAGATTATTACCAATTTCAGAAAAATATTTACAAAATATATTGCCTGTTTCAATATCGCTTTTTGTAAGTCCCCCATTTTCTTTCTTTACAGCAGGAATTTCTTGTCATTTTTGAGAATGTTGCATTTTTTCTATGAAATGCCACATTTTGACCGAAGAATTTTAAAGTTTGTCAACTTATTTTTAAAAAATTTTAATTTAGCCTCTTTTATAGTTGTGGTTAATTTATTTCTGTATAACTTAAATTCATTTAGAAGTTCTAAATCGAGTGGAAATTTTGTTGTTTCTCTATACAGCTTATTTTTTCTGTTAACGGATGTTATAATTCCATTCGATATCCATGGCTGCCTTTTAATATTCTTTCGTGGAATCTTTATCCAATTTGTACATGAATTTATATGTTGTTGAAGCTATAAGCTAAAAAGATCAAATGACTTTTCAGGATCATCTTGCTTATAACGGGTGATTTCTTAAGAGGTATAGGATTTGATTTGATTTAAAAAAAAAAAAACACAAAAAATTTGAAAAAAACGATTAAATCTTTGAGTCGATAGAACGGTCGATATAATTTAATGATTAAAGATTATTTCATGTAAATGTTGGCCGCGGCTCCGCTTTAGATGGCCCATGCGCAAGGTCCAATTTTGGCACACTCTCTCCAACATATCGGCCGGTATCTCACGAATAAATGCTTCAATATTGACTTCCAGTGCGTCAATCGTTGCTGGTTTATCCCTGTAGATATTAGCCTTAACATGGCCCACAATAAATATTCCAACGGCGTTAACTCAGACGATCTAGGCGGCCAATTGACGGGCCCCAAACGTGAGATAAACTGTTCACCGAACTCGCCTCTCAATAGGGCCATTGTTTCGTGTGCGGTGTGGCATGTGGCACCGTCTTGTTGAAACCACATGTCAGTCAAGTCCAGCTCTTCCATTTTGGACAAAAAAAAGTTTGTTATCATCGCGCGGTAGCGCTCACCATTCACAGTTACGTTCCGGCCATTGTCGTCTTTGAAGAAGTACGGCCCGATGATGCCACCGGCCCATAATCCACACCAAACAGTGATTTTTTCGGGACGCATTGGTAGCTCTTGCAATGCTTCTGGCTGGTCTTCACTCCAGATGCGTCAATTTTGCTTGTTAACGTACCCATTCAACCAGAAATGAGCTTCGTCGCTGAACGCAATTTTTCGTGGATGTGGATCTTCCTCCAACTTTGCCAGCGCCCATTCACCAAATGGGAAACGTTGTGGGAGGTCGTGTGGCTTCAATTTTTGCACCAGCTGTATCTTATAAGGTTTTACACCCAAACCCTCTCGCAAAATGTTCCACGTAGTGGAGTAACAGAGGCCCAATTGCTGCGAACGGCGGCGAATCGACATTTCACGGTCATCACTAACACTGGCGGATACAACCGCAATATTTTCTTAAGTCCTCACTCTACGTCTGCGTGTTGGTAGTTTAATGTCCAATAATGTAAACTGGGTTCGAAATTTAGTCGAAAGCTTCCGAATAGCTCCCTCAGTAGGCCGACCAAATTGCCCATAAATTGGAAGCAGTGCTCGATTCACTCTCTTAACCGAGCATGAATTTTGATAGTAAAATTCAATAATTTGCAAGCGTTGTTCGTTCGTAAGTCGATTCATGGTTAAATTATAGACCAAACTGAATAAGTTTGACCATGACACAATACACGATTCACGCGTCATCTGTCAAAAACAGTGTTGCCAAAAAGATACTAGCAAAAAAATCACCCATTATATCTCTGACCAGATAGCAGATTTGTATTGAGATCGACATGTTACATCAGAATCCATTTTCACATATGAGGACAGGCGGTCATAGGTCATTAAAAGTACACGAATGCCCAAAAAAGTCGATAACTATGCATTTTTGAAATAATGTTCAGAGATCAAAAATGAGTGTGTTTATGTTGTGTACGAGTACTGCACCTCGATCATACAGTATGACCACTTTTTAGCCGTTACAGTAGGTCACGCTGATTGAACCACTTATGACCACTTGACCTCACGTATCAGTATGGATTCTCATGTAAAATTTCGAGATCGACACGAATCTGCTGTCAAAATTAGTGATTGCTATTTGAATTTACAAAGTTGACTTCCTAATGTCCTCTGAGGTCATTGTCTAGATTCTAGATAATAATTGAGGTCATCGACAAATTACTTTTCTGATACCCTGGAGCTCTTTTGGGGAACCTGTTGTTCAAAGAAGTGCGTGGTTTCCAA